ATACAAAATAAATAGTTGCAGATAAAAATTTTAATTATATTTCAGAAGTTAACTTCTTGAAGGTCAGACCGTTCTTTAATTCTTTTACATTTAGGGCAGAAATTTCTATTTTTCCAACATTGGTAGTGATAAACATTATCACATTTATCACAGCTATGAGCATCTTCATCAAATGGGAATATTATTGTGTCCTTTTGACAGAGCTCACAAATATATCCTTGATTTTTACAAATCTARTAATAATAATAATAATATCAGTTTAAATTATTATGTATGGTGGTTTTATTAGAAAAATTAACCAACTTCGCATTCATATCGAATATGTTTTTCACAGACATCTTTTACTCGTAATAAATCTTCTAAAAAAAGTCCTGACTTTATTTCAACCATATCTTTCATGCTATACAAAATACTATCATATAGCAATTCATGACATCTAGATGATATATTTTTTAATTGTGCATTCCAAACTTTGCACAAAACCAAATATTTTTTCATTTTAAATAAGCTATTTTTAATGTTCTATAAAAAAAAAAATAATAAAACATTTGAATTGTAAAAATTAAATTTAGTTTCTTACTTTAATTTGATTTAGTGACTCTAAATATGTATAGAGTTTAGGGTTGTGTTTTTCCAAATTATACATCTTTGATTTATATTTATAATTAAGTAGTTGAAAAGATGCCTGACTCACAATTTTTTTATCAAATTGCCAATTACATAAAACACGTGCTGGTATTAAAGCGGTATTATTCCAATGGTGTAAAGGGCAGTAATATTTGCCATCATAGTCACATAAGCGAGCTTCTAATGAAAGAGTATCTTCTAAAGATAAAAAGATGAKCAATATGATATTGTTATTATGTGTAATTCAACTAATTATTTTTACATTACCAGAAGAAATTTTTGGGTTGCGAATACGGATATATGATTGACATTCGGCACATTTGTAATCTTGAGATAACAAGCCATTGGATGGAGTGATAGTCAAAATCATAGAATGTTCACTAGCAATAACTGCAGTACATACCCTTTTAATTTTTTCCACACAAAAAATATGGCAGTAGTAACCACAATCTACACTTATTAAACAATTACATTTAGATAATTCAATTTTTAGATATCTAATTAAAAAAACCAAAAATATCCAATATTTTACCTGAACATTCATACAATTGATGCATATATTTCCAAATGGTTTTTGTACATACGTCACAAAATTTACTTTCTAACCAATTTGGCTTCCATACAAAAGATAAATGATGACCAAAAACCACTTTTGTTTCATTTAAAAGATTTTTGTTTTCTAGAGCCTTAATTTCTGTTATCATTTCTAATTTTAACCTTAACTCTACTAGTCTTCTGACCAGTCGCATCCGTTCTTGACTACACTCTTTAGTAATTCTTATCATTTGATTACATTTTTCAACTTCTTTTTCCAAAATATCCTCATTTAGATCATTCTTAAAAATAATAAAATATAAATTTACAAACTGAAATAGGATATTTACTATTTATGTACTTCATTTATTGTTAAGAAGTTATCAGACACAGATGTTGAACTTTCGGATGACACTGAATCAGATGATATTGATGACAGTGAAATCACTGAATCATTCATTTCAACATTCAGTAAAAAATCGTTGGGTAATGAACTCATAGAAAAGTTACTACCTGTAATCATAAAACACTTTTGACTTTAGTGTGGGTTAAATTAAAAACTTAACTTCAGACATTTGTTAAATATAATTTTCATAATTAGTAATTATTAACAAAATAATACAATTATAGTTTGTACAACAAAATAAAGGCCATTCATTTTAATATAAAAATTGTTTAGTAACAAATATCAATAACATACCAGATAAATTTATAATTTCTGAAATATATTGAATTACTACTTAGGAAAATGTAATACAATTAGTTATGGCGTAATAGAATAACTTAAATAAAAATAAAATAAAAATAAAAACTCATAGATTAAGATTTTTGTCCACCATGACTTATGTCATTATGTAATTTTATGATCACCACTACAACGCGAGACGCGACCTAAACGTCCTAAACTACAAATTGATCTGTATTCTGTG